CACTTCCGGCTTTTTTCTTTTTGCTTATGTGGTGCTGAGGAATCGAACCCAGGGCCTCAGGCATGCAAGGCAAGCAGCGCTCTACCACTGAGCCATCTTCCCAGCCCAGAAGCCAGGAGTCTTAGAGGTTGGCACTGTCCCTAGAAGTTTTCCATTCAAAGTATTCTAAGAATGAAGTTTCATATACAGCATGCTAAATAAGCACCAACTAAAAACTATTAGTACACTCAGATCAGCAATAAAATATGCTGTCATATTTTCATATCTAATAATTCACATGAGTACTACTTTGTACATTCATTGAATAAACTCAAATTTTTAGTACCCATATAAAAATAACTAAAATGTCTCCTCTTCCAAAAGATTTGTTTTGTGTATGCTGGTCCTGGGGCTTGAACTCAGGGCCTGGGGGATGTCCTGGAGCTTTTGTGTTCAAGTCTGATATAAGAAGCTAATATAGAAACCCAGTTTAAAAAGACATTGATAGAGATGATAATACTGTTTGTTTGTTTGGTCATGGGGTTTGAACTCTGGGCCTGAGCATTGTCCCTCAGCTCTTCAGCTCAAGGCAGCACTCTACCACTTGAGCCACAGTGCCATGTCCAGTTCTCTAGTAGTTAATTGGAGATCATAGTCTCAAGGGCTTTCCTGTGAGAGCTGGCTTTGAATCACAATCCTCAGGTCTCAGCTTCCAGAGTACCAAGGATTACAAGCATGAGACACCAATGTCGAGCTGACCCATCTTTACCCTTTCTCTTACAGTGTTCTAATGTTAGAAGCAATTTCAAATCCTCCTTAAATAGCTGGTAAAAATAATGAAAAATTAAATCTGTACAAAGCATATATGTTTAAAGCTCAAAACCAATAGATTCTGTTATCTGGTGTTACTCAGGAGACTGGAAATCTAAGAGACTGAGGGCTTAGATTCTTGTGTACAAGTATGCAAAGGAAATGAAATCTCCAGGTTTCCATCACTAATGAAGGAAAATCCTTGAATAGCTATAACCTGTGCATATTCTTTGCATTGTTTTTTTCCAAACTGTCACTTTTCTGCCTTTTACTAGACTGTTTTTATTAACTCCATCTAGCCACCTTGGCCTTTTTTTTGGGGGGGGAGGGTCCAGTCATGGGACCTGAACTCTGGGCCTGTGTGCTGTCTGTCCCTCAGCTCTTCAGCTCAAGGCTAGCACTCTACCACTTGAGCCACAGCGCCACTCCCAGCTTTTTTCTTTTTTTGCTTATGTGGTGCTGAGGAATGGAACCCAGGGCCTCATGCATGCAAGACAAGCACTTTACCACTGAGCCACCTTCCCAGCCCCACCTTGGCCTTATCTTGGCTCAGTATTCCTTATCCAAAATGCTTGGAACCAAAAATATTTCCAGCCTTTTTTCAGATTTTGGAATGCTTGCACATACATAAAATGAGATATCTTGGGGATAGAATCAAAGAGTAAACATGAGATCCTTTTGTTTCAAATACACTTTATATACAAAGCCTAAAGGTAATTTTATACAATATTTTTAGGCTGTTGTATTTCAGCTGACATGTCACATACAGTTAGGTCATGTCAACAGTGGCTCACACCTGTAATACTAGCTATTCCAGAGGCTAAGAACTGAAGATTGACATTTGAAACCAGCACAATCAGACAAATCAAAAACTATCTCTAATTCACTAGCAAAAGTAGAGCTGTAGCTCTAGAGGGAGAACACCATCTTTGAGCAAAAAAGGCAAGCAAGAATGTGTGGCTCTACTACATACACACACACACACAAAAAAAAAAAAATGGGGGGGAGGAGGCATTTTGGATTTCAGATCAGTTTAGGGATGCCTGACCTGTTATTTCCAAGAGTTCTTGACATCATACATTGTTTCATTTAAATCTCTGCTCAGCTATCTTATAAGCAAGGCTGTCCACATTGTTTCATTTAAATCTCTGCTCAGTTATCTCATAAGCAAGGCTGTCGCCAGTACTCTATGTAACTTTATTCCCTTAACTGTGTACCAAGACTTTAGTCTGAACATTTACAGCTATCTGACAAATCTATATGTTTCGTTGCAGATCATCTGTCTCTCTAATTCCCATACAAACTCATAACAACTAGGCTTTACTTCACCACTGTATCCACTGAAAGGAAGGAACATATTTCTTGAGACTGTCACTCCAAGCATCTGTGACACTACCAGAGACAACATAGCACAGTGTTTTTATGAAGTAGTTTCTTAGTATTTGCTAGTTTATTTGTAAAGACAGAGAAATCTACCTGCACCAAAGTTGGTAGCTATTCAAAATTGCTAACCCATCCAGGTATGAGAACTAAAAGCCCTGCTTCTTGCTAAAACTTGTCCATTCTCCCAATTTTCCCCTAGCCTTTGTTTCCCCCATAAGATAACCAAATTATTTTGCTTTCTAATCTTCCTATTCTCATATGTACCATGGTCCTCATCCACCAAGCAATTCGCTTAACTTTAGAAAAATCCTACCCAGTGCACTGAGATGTTACAAGGCCTTCAAATTACTTACTGCTCAGCTAATAAAGAAAGCAATATTATACAATCTTGGAATCCTCAGGTTTCAAGCACCTTACCTACTCAAACTCAGGACATCAGAGATACAGAATAACAGTATGCTTCCATTAAAAAAAATGTCAGCAATAGCTGGGCACCCACTGTGGCTCATGCCTGAAATCCTAGCTACAAAGGAGGCTGAGATCTTAGAAGCGCTTCGAAGCCAGCCCAGGCAGGAAAAGTCCATCAGATTCTTACTCCAGTTAACACCAAAAAAAAAAAAAAAAACCTGGAAGTGGAACTGTGGCTCAAGTGGTAGAGTGCTAGCCTGGAGAGGAAAAAAAAAAAATTTAAAACCTCCGGTAACAGCGGAGTTCAAGCCCAGGACCAGCGCGCATGCACACGTGCACGCACACACACACTCAACAATATCATCTTCAGAGTGCTCTCAAGCTCCTTAAACTAATTCTACTTTAGTTATGAAATCTACACAAAAGAGCTGCTGTAGAAGTCTTAAGGAATAGAAGTTGAAAAGCCTGTGGATAGCCAAGTTGTCTACGAGTTGCCCATTTAGGGAATTTAAACCCACTGAGTCACTTTATAGCCTACTTTCAAATCTGGTAGTTTTTCCAGGAGCTCTTGGTTCGAGGGAAAATGTTAAGATTCTTAAGACTCCGCCAAGTGTGCGAGGGCGGGAGGGATTGGGGATCCAAGGTCTTTAGCACACACGTCCACAGTAACTGCTCGAGGCAAAGCAACGGAAGTTGGAGAGACTTTGCAACAGCTGCAAGAGTTTCACTCCTCGCGGCGAGCGGTGGCAGGAGCGAGGCTCGAGGGCCGGGCCGGACTGGGCGGCATCCGGCGGCGGCGTGCGCCGGGCTCGCTGGGCCGCCGCGCCCCCGGGCTCACCTCTCCGGATCCCAGGCTGCACGGGCCCCACCTGTTCCCCTCGGGTCCCCACGCCCCAGCCCCTCGGGAGCCGCACTGAAGAGCACCAGGAGCCCTATCCTGGCCCACGCTCACCCTTGGTCAGTGTGTCCAGCACCCCCGACTTCTCCAAGTATCTCCGGAACTGCTCACGCTTCGAGTCGGCGGCCTGAGGAGACACCGCGGGGTAGTGACCCGAGCCCGGGGGCCGGAGCAGGAAGAAGGCGCTGGGAGTCCGGCCACCCCGCCTCGCCTCGCCACCTCGAGCCCCTAAAACCTGCACGCGCGCCCCAGCTCCCACCCGGAGCCGACCAGCGGCTGGCAACCGCCCGCACGCCCCCAGCCACGCCGCGCCCCCCTCACTTTGTAATGGGCCATAGTGACAGCGGCGTCGCTGGCGCCGAGACTCGGGCTGGCGGGCTCAGAGGAGCACTGCTCATGCGCGCAGGGGGCTGTGCGCCTGCGCTGTGACCAGACTCGGGCCCGGGTGGCCGGGGCGGGGCCTGTTTTCATGGCGACCAAGACGCCGTGCCTCTGCCATGGCAGTCCGAGCCCAGGGAGGCTGCGTACGCCCGCCCCTGCGGCTGCCCTTTCCTTCCCCCTAGCCTTCCTCTTCCGGTCCCCCGGCGCGGCGGTTGCTGAGCGGCGAGGCCTGGGCTCGGGAACTCGTCGCAAGTGTCCAGGTGGGGCCCCAGGTGGGCGTGGTGCCGGGGCGGGGCCGGAGCGCGGGCCCGCGGCTTGGGGAGGGTTGGCCCTGGGGGGTGGGGAGGTGGAGGACGCCCCTTCTTGCCCTGGGCCTTGGGAGTCGTGGCGGCCTATCTGTTTGTGCCAGGCTTCTTGGCTTTCGTCCGAAAAAAGAGGAGGGGGAACAAAACGCGCTGGACGCACGCAGGGGCCCGGGCGCTCGTGACTGGAGCAGGGGGTGTTTGGTTAGGATCGAGTTTGAAGCCCGGCTTTTCCTGTGAAAAGCTGTTTTTGTGGCTGACTCCCAGGGGCCTCTGGAAGTAAGCCGTGTGCTAACAAGCTACGCTTTTGAGCTAGAATTGTGTGTCGGTCCGCGTTCTAAACAGAGTTTTCGTTTTAATCCTCACACCACCCATGTAGGACAAGTAGTAAATGGGCGAGGTTGCAGGAGCCGAAGTAGAGCCGAAACAGACTCCAATCCCGGAAGTAAATCCCCAGGCTGCAAAACCTGCGAAAGCCAGCCTGGGCCCCTTTTAAGATTTTTATTTGCCAAATAGCATTGTGATTGTACTTAACACCCGTCAGTTTGCAAGTGTTAGTTCAGCAGCAAGTCTCTAAGTTATCTAATACAAGAGCAAACAAAATCAATTTCGTGTCCAAAGGAAAAAAATTAATAACTAAAAGGAAAAACTATACAGATCAAGAAAAAATTTCCAAAGCCACAAGAAAACCTGGTCCCAAACCATTTAGCCCATGTTTGAAGCAGGTGTTTTTTTTTTTCTCTAAATAAGTTTTTCACATATTTTCAAGAGATGATAAAGAAATCCTGGTTTAGTTATCCTATGTTTTTTAATTTGGAATTATCAAATTAGAGCTGTTTCAGTTTCTGAAGGAAACTAGCAGTTGTCTGTCTAACAGCTATCTACTTCCTCCTCCTCCACCACTAGGCAACTTCTGTGGTGGGAATAATATATAGAATGTCCAAAAGACAGCATGTGTTCAGATCTGAAGGTCTGTGGAAACCCGCCTACCAATGAAGTTGTTCCTCAGGGACACTGACTTACTGGGAGGATTATTGTAGGTTCTAACAGACTTTGGCTCAAAGGACAACTGTCCTAAAGAATCAGGAGTGTCAACTGGTTGGGAATTTCCTCCTTGTTTCCTTAAATTCTTACCACCAACCTCTTTTCCAGATACTTTATGAGTGCCTTTGTTGTTACCTAAGTCTATAGGATGAAGGACACTACAGCTAGTACTAAGTGTACACATCCCATTATTTTCCTCTTCATCCAAAATGTGACTATTAGGAGATGCCTGAAACACAGAAAATGAATTTAAACTCTGGTGTACTGCTGTGTGTGTTGGTTTTTCCACCAACAAGTTGTCATCAGATACAGAAGAGAATCTCTTCAGTGAATTTGTTGGTGTGCCCTGATATTTGGCTAGGTTTAACTTTGACTTGTTTGCATGGTATTGATTATGTTTATACTTTGACTTATATTGTCCCCAAAGCCCTTTTTTAATCTTTTTAAAACCAAGGTGGAAAATTTCTAGAATGTTTAAGAAAAGTGAAACTGTGGCTATGAACTGCATAAATAATAGGAATATTGTCTTTTCTGTTGGTCTTGAGATAAAACAATCAATTATATTTGGACATGGGTGGCCATGGCATTTAAATAGAGGATCTAAGTGAAATCCATATAGGAAGTACTGTCCAGTCATGAACCCAACTTCAAACACAGAGCGAGTGAAAATGTGTATCACATAAGTGCAAAGCAAGCTTCCTCTGAGTGGAGCTTTATTTGGTTTCCTTTTCCCCTCCAGCTGGCAAAGCTCTTGTTCCAGTCTTTTTTGATCCTCAGGCATTTTAAACTCTACTTCCTCCAGTTCTTTTTTCAATTGAGCTTTTAACCGCTGCCTCTCTTTCTGTAGAGCTCTCAGTCGATATAAAGCATGGCCCATGTAGACCAGAGATGGTGAAGACACAAATATTACTTGTAGAACCCAGTATCTAATGAGGGAGATAGGAAAAGCCTGGTCATAGCACACATTTCTGCAACCTGGTTGTTCTGTATTGCAGATGAAGTCAGACTGTTCATCATTCCAGACATCTTCAGCTGCTATCCCCAGAACAAGCATGCGAAATATGAACAAGATGGTGAGCCAGATCTTTCCAATCATGGTAGAATGAATATGGACTTCCTCCAGAACACCTTCAAGAAGGTTCCAGTCCCCCATATTTGTTTATTCAGCTCTGAATCCTAGCAAATAGGAGGCAGATAAGATCTTCCATTATGAAGAGAGCAGTAGTTCTGAAACCTATAGCCAAAATATGCACAAATAATTTTTTTCTCATGTGTTAATTGTTTCACATTTACTACAAATAGCAGTAGTAGTCTATAACAGAACATATTTCAGGTTTAGAGATTTAAAATCACATGTACGAGTGCAAAAAAATATGATACATAGTATATCTTGTCTATTAAGAATAGAATTATTAATTGGGTGCTGGTGGCTCATACATATCTATAATCCTAACTACTCATGAAGCTGAGATCTAAAAAAATCATGGTTTCAAGCCAACCCAGGCAGGAAAGTCTATGAGATTGTTATCCCCAATTAACCACCAAAAAAACTGAAGTGGAGCTGTGGCTAACATGGTAGAGCACTAGCATTGAGCGAAACAGCTCAAGGACAGGGGCCAGGCTCTGAGTTCAAGATGCAGGACCAATACAAAAAAATAAGAATAGAATTGTTGTGGTGGGGTATGGTTCAGTGGTGGAGTATATGTGTATTGTGCTTGAAGTACTGGGTTCACTCCTCAGCAGCAAAAATGAAAGTTATAGGATTCCCTATCAGAAGTAATTTTATTTAGCTGAAGATTATGGTTGATTTCCTTAATCTACAAACAGGTTCCTAAAATTATTGATTTGATCTTACAAACCTATTAAGTTTGTTTTATAGAAAAAGTTGTAACTGCTCCATAACTTTCTGAGTCTTCCTTTCTGACACTACCCTACTCACTTTCCTCTTTTGACTACTGAGAGGTGTCCCAACTGGCCTATCCTCCATTGCTCTTGTGAACTTCACTGACCCCTGGGTCCAAGAGGAAGATACTAAGTACCACAGAGGCCAAAAATGGAGTCTGTGAGCTTTGAGGATGTAGCTGTGAACTTCACCTCAGAGGAGTGGGCTTTACTGGATCCTTCCCAGAAGAAACTCTATAGAGATGTGATGTGGGAAATCCTCAGGAACCTGACTTCTTTAGGAAAAACACAGGAAGACCAGAACACTGAAGATGACTACAGAAATTTCAGGAGAAGTATAAGAAGTCAAGTGCTCAGGAGACTCTGTGAACATAGTGAAGAAGGTGAAGAAGTCTTTAGCCAGATTCCAGATCCTGTTGTGAATGATACTCCTCCTGGAGTAAAGTGGTGTGAAAGCCAGGTGTGTGGTGATGTCTTCATTGGTCCTTCACTCCTAAGTGTGCCTATCACTATTCAAACTGGACATGAGCCTTATGAATATCAGGACTGTGGAGAGAATCTGTATAAATGCAGGGAATATGGAAAAGCTGTTAGTTATCCTGAATGCTTTGTGAAGCATGAACCAACTCATACTGAAGAGAAACCCTTTGAACATACGGAATGTGAGAAAGCCCTCAGGAGTCATAATTATAGTCAAATACATGAAAAAAATGACAAAGAGAAAACAAATGTGTATAACCAAAGTGGTGAAGCCTTGTCTTGTTCCAGTGTCCCTCAATACCAGGAAGGAATTCACACTGGAGAAAAACCCTATGTGTGTAAGCAGTGTGGGAAAGCCTTTTCTTTTTTGAGTAGTATTCGAAGGCATGAGCGAGCACACACAGGAGAGAAACCCTATGTGTGTAAGCAATGTGGGAAAGCTTTCAGTCACTTGACTAATTTTCAGCAACATGAACGAACTCACACAGGAGAGAAACCTTATGTGTGTAAGCAATGTGGGAAAGCCTTCACCTATTACAATTCCTTTCAAACACATAAAAGAAATCACACCGGAGAGAAACCCTATTTATGTAAACTGTGTGATAAAGCCTTCACTAGTCGCACTTCCCTTCGATATCATGAGAGCATTCACAGTGGAGAGAAACCCTATGTGTGTGAGCAATGTGGGAAAGCATTCCCTTGTACAAGTTCCATTCGAAGACATGAAAGGACTCACACTGGAGAGAAACCCTTTCTGTGTAAGCAATGTGGGAAAGGTTTCAGCTCTTCCAGTTCCTTTAGAATACATGAACGAACTCACACTGGAGAAAAACCTTATAAATGCAAGGAGTGTGGTAAGGCCTTCACTGGTCACAGTTCCCTTCGTTGCCATGAAAAAATCCATAGTGGAGAGAAACCTTACAAATGTAAGCAATGTGGAAAAGCTTTTTCTTCTCTGAGTAATTTTAGAAGACATGAACAAATTCACACTGGTGAGAAACCCTATGTGTGTAAGCAATGTGGAAAAGCCTTCACTTGTTCTGGTTCCCTTCAGAAACATGAAAGGACTCACAAGGTAGAGAATTCTAAAATAGAATGTAAGAATGCCTCATTGTTACATGACCTTTCTAACAAACAGGACAGTACAGAGGAAAGAGAATTAGAATCAGTGTAAAGTGTTAAGGATGTCTCTAATCATCTCACAGAATTCACAAATGAAAAATGGCCTACTGTGGTAAGAAGAAATGTGCAAAAGTCTTTTGTCATCCCATAACTAAGAGCTTACCTAGGACAAAAAAAAATCTTGTGAGCATTAAAAACAACATTCTGGCAAATTCCTCCTGTGATGGAATCCTACAAAAAAGTTTTATGAAGAGCTTGATGCAAAGTAATTTCTATAGACTGCTCTAGAAATTGCTCAAACTGAAAAAGATGTTCTGAAAGTTACAAGTATATTGTGTTTACTAGTGAGTCATTCTTAAAATAGACCTCTGGACTATGGATTGTTTTATTTCATTAGGATTTGAACTTAGACTATATTTCCAATTTTCACCTTCTAAAAGAAGTGTTGAAGTAACCTGTAAGGTTCAAGTAATAGGACATGAGGTATTGTCCTTTTTAGTCATTGGGTAGTAACTTTTATCTTTTTTTAACTATTTTGGTTCCTTGCATAAATCAAGATGTAGTTCTAATAAGCCAGGAGACTTAATTTTAAATATCTTTAAAATAACGTGGTTAATGTGCCACTAAAAATTAATTTGTTAGTTGCTAGTATTTTCCTACTAGACATTTGTGGAAGATTCTTATATATTTATATAGCTTTTTTGTTACCATTCTTTTTTCATCACTGTGACTGAATACATGAGAGAAACAACTTGGGGAACAATTATTTTGCTCATGATTTCAGAGGTGTCTGTTCATCATGGTGAAACAAGCCGTTTACATGGCAAATAGGAGCAAAGGAGTGCCTATATAGGAAGAGGCCAGGGCAAGACAAAGCCCCTTAGGGCATCCCTTCCCTACTCCTTCAACATAGGCTCCTACCTCCTAGTGATGACACCCTATTATAAACTCATCAAGGCATGAGTCCATTCATTGGATCCAGAGCCCTCTTGTTCTAATCATCTCTGGAAATGGTAATACAGACACCACGAAGTGTGCTTTACCAGACTTAGGTATCTTTAAGTCCAGTCAAGTTTACAATGAAAATCATCATAGTCTTTTTTTTTCATATCAACTGATGTTTATTATGTGGATTTTGTACCATTTACTTTTTTATGTATATTTTCTTGAGGA